GAGCTACTTAAATCCACTGTGCCTCAGTCTTCTTACCTGTAAAATGAAGGAATAACAGAGCCTATTTAATTGTCCAACTTGAGGTTTACATGCAAGAATACACATAGTGTGCTTAGAACAGTCCCTGGCATGTAAAAAGTACTCAACAAATACCAAACACCATTATTCTTATAAATATTTGTTACTACTGCAAGGATATACTTCTTTTTTTTTTTTTTGGAGATGGAGTTTCGCTCTTCTTACCCAGGCTGGAGTGCAATGGCGCGATCTCGGCTCACCGCAACTTCCACCTCCTGGGTTCAGGCAATTCTCCTGCCTCAGCCTCCTGAGTAGCTGGGATTACAGGCATGCGCCACAATGCCCAGCTAATTTTTTGTATTTTTAGTAGAGACGGGGTTTCATCATGTTGACCAGGATGGTCTCGATCTGTTGATCTTGTGATCCACCCACCTCGGCCTCCCAGAGTGTTGGGATTACAGGCTTGAGCCACTGCACCTGGCCTTCTAACATAGCAGTTGCTTGACAGAAGAGGCCCTGAGATGGCTCCTAGGAGAAGCCCTGTGCATTTTAATAAGGAGAGAATGGCCAGCTGTGTTGACTCACACCTGCAATCCCAGCACTTTGGGAGGCTGAGTTGGGTGGATGACCTGAGGTGGGGAGTTCTAGACCAGCCTGACCAATATGGAGACACCCTGTCTTTTCTAAAAATACAGAATTAGCCAGTGTGGTGGCATATGCCTGTAATCCCAGCTACTCAGGAGGCTGAGGAAGGAGAATCACCTGAACCCAGGAGGCAGAAGTTGCAGTGAGCCGAGATCATGCCATTGTACTCCAGTCCAGGCAACAAAAGCGAAACTCTGTCTCAAAAAAAAAAAAAAGAAAAAAAAGAGAGGGCCCAGCTCTACCTTGATTATACAGATCAGGGAGGTGACAATGAATGTTGGAAATGCCAAGGTAGGCAAGGGAGCAGGCCTGTGGGCCAGTGTGCTGGATGCCCTCCCACTGGGAGTGAAGGACTGACCCGGGCAAGAGAACTAGGTTATGTCATCCCCTTGGAAGTGTGGAGCTGTTTGCCCTGGATTCCTTGGGGGTTCAGCGACTTGGTGGCCCCAGACGGGGTCACCCATGCATTTCTCCTTTACCCATGCATAATCAGTGATTTGTCCTCTAAGGAAAGACCACATGTTCCCTCACTTGAAGTGAACAATTCATTCTCCTTTGATGGGTGTGCCTCGGGTTTAGTTCAAACAATAGTCTCATGATACTGGCTGTTCCTCAATCCCTGCTTTTTTAAAAGTCTGCACCTCTTACCAGCAGCCATGAAAGACAACAGCACCTTTTTGTCTCGCGGCCTAATTTTGAAGATAGTTAGCTCCCAGCAGAGCTCTGCAGTCCGTCTTTGCCTGGAGTTTTTCCCCTGAGTGCAGGCAGGCTTCTTTATGCCACATGCCGGCTGTTAAGGGGGGACTCCGATAATGCTGCTGACAGGTGATAAGAAAGAAAAGTGGCCTAAATTAGTGCAAAGCGGTGTTTGTGATTCCTGCAGAATGCTGCTTTCCCATTTTTAATGTATCTTCAGAGATCAGTTATACGTGCTATGGGGAATGAATTCAATTTCATTGAAAGTACAGGAGCAAGTCCACCAAGGAAGACAGGTGATAATGGCATGTGATGGCTCCCAGGACACATTTGCAGAAATAAAAGCCAAAGACCCTATTTCTCTTCACACCCTGGCCTTGCTGACTCACCTAGACTTGATTAACTTGGAGCTTATTAAAAGAAGAATCCAGTTGTTTAACTGACACTGACACTTATCATTCCCCTTTCCATCATACACACATACACAAGCACACACACACGTTTTCTTTGTGTAGCACAAATACAGAGGCTTTGAAAATAATCATCTTGTTTTTTAAATGTTTTAACTATACATTCTGCAATATATTACAATTAAAGACACCTTGTCTTATTGCTTTGAGGATTAATGTATAGGAATATATATATGTATATACCACAGGTACATTGTATGTCTTTAATAAATGCTAGATAGTTTGATAGTATTACAGTTATTATTTATTTTATTTTGCATTCTCATTACTGTGCTAAGTACTTTATATAACAATAACCTCAAGTAGAACTTCTAAGCCAGTCATTGTTTGAATACTTTCATGTGTTAGGTCCTTTAGAGTTCACGGTGACGTAAGGAAGTATTATTATTACTCCATTTTACAGAAAAGGAAACTAAGACTCAGAGAGGCTGATTTGACTAAAATTATCAGACAGAATTCATTCCTGTGCCCCTTGAAAGCATGTGTTCTCTCTGCAACCAGGGCAGGAGGGCAGCTTAGCAGCTGCCCTGGTTCCTGCTGGTTGGTGCCAAGGCTGTCTGAGTGGTGAATTCACCTAGTAGAGTGTGGCGTTTTTGAGGCTGGGAGGGCTGCATTGCTGAATGTTCAGCAGGCCAGGCAGTGTCATTGTAGAACCAATGGACAGTGCAGGAGAACTGAGCATGGTGCTATGGTAGCAATTTTAAAAGGCCACTGTGTGCAGTTCTTGCTCCACTATGTGATAGAATAAGCATCTTCTTATGCAATGCGATGGGCAGGAGCTTGAAACACCTACTTACCTCTACGATGTCACCAGATCCAATGAGCAACATGCCCCATCCCACTTCTCAGTGGCATCTGACAGGATTCATTAGTCCTTCCTTCTTAAAATGATTTCCTCCCTTGGCTCCAAGACACCTTGTTTTCTTAGTTTCCTTCCTACAGCACTGGTCACTCCTCCTCTGCTCCTTTTTGCAAGATCCCTCTGCTCTTTCTGGTATCTAGACATTGGGGTCCTCAGACCATTTCTTACACATCAGCATCATGGCTTTTCATATGAACTAGTCACTGATGACTCGCAGATTCATGTTTTAGCCTAACTCTTCCCTGGACTTGGAGCATGTCAAAGTCTCCTAAGTGACACCTCCACATGGATGTCCAATGACTCTCTCAAATTTAACATGGCTAACAGAACTCTTAATTTTCCCCCTTGTACTAGCTATCAATATTGCGGCACAACAAATTATTCCAAAACTTCATGGCTTAAAACAAACTGCCTTGTGAAGTAATAAAATAGTGCTGTTCAACTAATTAACCCCAAAAGTTAAAATAAAAAACATTTACTATTTCACAGTTTCTGTAGGTCACAAAATGAGAGGGCTCAGCTGATTGGTTCTGTCTTGGGATCTCATCCTGACTGCATCTGACATCTTGACTGCAACTGAATGAGGACAAAAGCAAGATCCTTCTCCTAGGAGGGGTGGTTTGAGCAGAGGGAGTGGCACATGCAGGATTCTGAGGCAGATCCAGGCTTAGTGTTTAAGGAACAGCAGAGAGACTAAGCTATAGTGGAGAGGGTCAGCTAAGGAAGATGGACTGAGAAGCTGCCAGGGGGCAGATCACGAAGACCTTGGTTGCATGAGGTTACAGTCAAGATGTCAACCAGGGATACAGTCATCTGAAAGATCACCTGGGCTTGAAGGATCCACCTCCAGAATGGCTCACATGGCTGTTTGGCAGAAGGCCTCAATTTCTAGCTAGCTCTTAGCAGGAGTCCTCAGTTTCTTGCCACATGGACCTCTCCATTTTATTATCATTATTATTTTTTTGAGACAGGGTTTCACTCTGTCACCCAGGTTGGAGTGCAGTGATGCAATCATAGCTCACTGCAACTTTGAACTCCTGGGCTCAAGTGATCCTTCAGCTTTAGCCTCCCAAAGCTCTGGGATTATTGACATGAGCCACTGCACCCAGCCCTTCCAGAGGATTCTGGCTGGTGAAAGCCAAAATAAATTATTTGAGTAAGAGACCAAAGGAACTTGCCATCATCTCTGCCTTATTCTTTGATCACTCAGATTGACCCCGATGCAGTGTGGAAGGGGACTACACAGGAATATGAATGTCAGGAGGCACAGGTCACTGAGCAATCTTGGAAGTACAATCAGCAAATCTTTTCTGAGGACCTTCTATGTATCCAGCCCTGTGGTGTCATCGGGATCTTCCCAAACAGAGTGCATTGAGGGATTGGCATTTTCTGCCCTAGGCAAGGAGCATGCCACATAATAAGATATGGTATCGCTACCATCTGGGCCCCTGCCATTCCAGGAGTGGCCGGAGCTCCTTCCTGGTTCTTTCCAGGAAGTGACGGCTGGACCTACACATAGTATCATATACCAGTGATCCCCTCGCTGGCTCGCCCATTCTCCTCCACTAAATCCCCTCATCCCATTTATCCAAGTCAGAGTGGATATTCTTTGCTGGGGTCTCTTTGGAGTCTAGCCTCATTTTCATTTCACACATCCCCTGAAAAGTCTGGTCACTCTCAATTATATTTGTTCTTATTTGGTGAGAACATTGTACATGTTCACCCTGTGGTTCACACCACTTAGCTCAGGGAATCACCCTGTGGTTCACACCACTTAGCACGGGGAGTTCACACTGTGTTATCCGTATGTTATACGTATGTTCTATGAACATACGTATAACACAGCAGATGTAGGTATAGGGGTGTGAACACCCTGTAGGATCACACCCCTGTACCTATATCTGCTGTGTTATATGTCTGTTGTATGCATACATACATACCACCCTCTATTATGTGAGTTCAGAAGCATGGGAAAAGGCCTCATACCCTGAAATGTCTCCCCGAAATGCTAGCTGAAAACTAATGTCCTTTAATGAGGGATGAGATTTTTCATTCCTGAACAAGAAAATAGGGCTTAACCAGCAAGTACACCTTGGATAAGACACAAGAACTAACCTGCTGCTGTGGTACACATGCACCAGAGAAGGCCCTTCCCTAGGTGTGGCCAGTTCTGTTGGTGCCCCAGCCAGATCCTCTCATCTCCCCCTGGTGATCCTCATTCTGCCAGCTGTCAGTCAGCTCACTCACCACCCGGCTGTAGCATTCAGATCTAGCATGTGAATATTCTCTATCCATGTCTGTCTTCCTAGGTGGATTACGATCGAGCACAGATGGTCCTCAGCCCTCCACTGTCAGGGTCTGACACCTACCCCAGGGGCCCTGCCAAACTACCTCAAAGTCAAAGCAAAGCAGGCTATTCCTCAAGCAGCCACCAGTATCCGGCTGGGTACCACAAAGCCACCTTGTACCACCACCCTTCCCTGCAGAGCAGTTCGCAGTACATCTCCACGGCTTCCTACCTGAGCTCCCTCAGCCTCTCATCCAGCACCTACCCGCCGCCCAGCTGGGGCTCCTCCTCTGACCAGCAGCCCTCCAGGGTGTCCCATGAACAGTTTCGGGCAGCCCTGCAGCTGGTGGTCAGCCCAGGAGACCCCAGGGAATACTTGGACAACTTTATCAAAATCGGGGAAGGCTCAACCGGCATCGTGTGCATCGCCACCGAGAAACACACAGGGAAACAAGTTGCAGTGAAGAAAATGGACCTCCGGAAGCAACAGAGACGGGAACTGCTTTTTAATGAGGTAAAGGGTGTGTTTGTGTCATCTTTTCTCTCCTTTGTAACATTTATTCCCCATTTCAAAAGTTATACACATGTACGTTTTAGGACAGTAGAAAAGCACTGAAAATATAAAGACATAAATAGCATCCCCTGTAATATTTCCTTCTAGTCTTTTTTCTATGCACATATGGCTTTTACCTCTATAAAGTACTTCAGGTGGATCAGCCGCTGTACTAAGCATTAATCTAGCTTGATCCTCACAACAACTCTGTGAGACAGAAAGATGTTATCACCATTATAACAAGGAAACTGGACTCAGACGGGTGAAGAGACCAACCCAGGCTCATGCAGCAGGTTGACTGCAGAGCTAGGACCTGAATCTCTGTCTAGCAGACTCTAAATCTCATGCTACACTGTATCCATGTGGGTCTGTATATATTTTACACTGGTGTGATATCATCATATACCCTCCGTAAACAATTTTTAAAACAATAGACCAGGGTCAGCTTACCAATGGACTGTCACTCTTTAGAAATTTTAAAATATTTTTTCCTAACTATAAAAATAATGATTTATTTCTGTAGAGTATATGGAAAGTAAAAAGTCCCACAAAAATCCCCCAGTCAAGGAATTACCTACTTTAATATTTCAGTGTTTCTTTTCTATATTTTTCTATTTACAAATTTCTTTCATTTGGGATAATTCTCTATCTATGTAGTTTGGTAACTTTCTAACTTTCAATTATTGTTAACATGAATACTAATAAAATTAATATCAAATAAAATATATTGACATATATTTATTACTGGAAAGTAAATTTAATGACCCTTTTAATGGCCTTATAATCTTCTATCATGTACGTGCATCAGGTTTATTAAACCAGTCTCTGATTTAATAAATATGAGGTAACTTTATAGGTATGTAGTTTTGTGACTTTCTAAATTTCACTTAATGTTAACATTAATACTAACATTTTATTTTATTAACATCTAATAAAACATATAGGCATATATTACTTTTTATTAACATAATATAAAATATATTAACATATGCTATTAACTACATGCCAAAACACAATTTTAATGGCTTAATAATATTCTATCATATATATGTATTATATTTAAAACTAGTATCTGATTTATATTGTTTCCAATTTGTCAGTTTTATTGTTTTGCAGTGAGTGTTGTTACACATATGTCTTTGGCTTCACATCTGATTATTTTCTTCAATTTCTAGAAGTGGAATGAACACATCAAATGACATGTAATTTTTTTTAGAGAAGTGGTATACACTGTTAATTTCCAGAAAGTTCGTATCAATCTAGACTCTCACCAACAATACTTTTCACCTTCAGAAGCACCATTTATATTGTCATGTTATCTCTGTTCATCCGCTAGACATGAATAAACCTTACAGTTTTCATTAGCACTTTTATTACTAGTGTGGCTAAATTGAATTTTATGTAAGTTTAGGCCATTTTTATTTCTCCACCGAATCGTGTGTTCTGTGTACAGTTTTCAGCTGGGGTGCTAGCATTTGTTTTACAGATGCGTTAAGAGCTATTGATATGTTAAGGAATCAACCCTTCTCGGTCTATTTGTTGTACTTTAACATTTACCTTCCACTTTCTTTTTTTTTTTTTTTTTTTTTTTTGAGACGGAGTTTTGCTCCTGTTACCCAGGCTGGAGTGCAATGGCGCGATCTCGGCTCACCGCAACCTCCGCCTCCTGGGTTCAGTCAATTCTCCTGCCTCAGCCTCCTTAGTAGCTGGGATTACAGGCATGTGCCACCATGCCCAGCTAATTTTTTGTACTTTTAGTAGAGACGAGGTTTCACCATGTTGCCCAGGATGGTCTTGATCTCTTGACCTCGTGATCCACCCACCTCGGCCTCCCAAAGTGCTGGGATTACAGGTGTGAGCCACCCCTGGCCACTACCTTCCACTTTCTCATTTACCTTTTAAACTTATCATTTAAGAAATCTAAAATAGGAAGGGAAACATGAGACATTATGTTAGAAAACATATCAAGTATTTTGCAGTAATATTCTTTAAGTAATTTTATAAGAGCATTGTGGGGAAAGATATATGTTTGTGGATGAGAGCTCTAAGCCCTAAAGATATCAAGTCAGGATATCAGTCTCCAGGACAGGGTGCGCAATCCACCTTCTGACTCCCAGAACAATCTACAGCTGCTTGACCTCTTTGTCTTTCTATTGTAAGCACTCCTATTCTTTGAGAAGTAGGCAGAAGGGATTTAATCCATAAACAGGCACTGTGCGAATGCACTCAGCTGCAATTCTGAACTCTGTTTTTCACGGAGGCTCATGTGAAGCCCCCAGTGGCCTCCACACATCTCCAGCTCCCATGGGTGCTTATTTCTCACACATGCTCCAAATCTCACAGAGTTCCAGGTGAGTGGGCTTCAGCATCTTCCCAGTCCACTATTCCTGACTTCTGGAATTTATTTTTCAAACCACAATGCCAGAACACGCAGAGCAATATGAGGTGGATAAACAATTCTGTAATTTATTATTAACACTAACTCTGAAAACTCCAGTGAAAACAGCCACAGGGCAGTAATTTCTGGAAGCTCTCTCCAGCAAGCAGGCTCCTTAGCCTTTTTTATGTGTATGCCATATTTATCTTCAATATATATTCTTTGAATTCAGCCCAAATATCTCTCAGGTTCAACCCATACCTTCTTCTAAGGAGAATTTAAGTTGGTCTTGTGTGGCTCCAGTTTTAACAATAGCTTACTTCATTCACTTATGAGACTCATTCCCTCACTTACTATGAGTTGGTGACCCTTTGCTAGGATAACCAGCAGAAGATTGCGAACAGCACATTCTAAAGGAGACCCTTAGGGATATCTGATCATATCCTTGCAGACAGACAACGAAACTCCCTCTTCTGAATGCAGATCTTGCTTTTGTTCTGCCTGCTTTCATTACTCTCTCTGTCTCTCCAACGTCTGGGGGACCTGTCATTTTCTCTCAAATTTGCTACCTTAATTCCTTTTATTTCTACTAGCTACCCTTGATGCTTTTTGTCTGTCATATATTTCTGAATAAAGTTCCCCACAATCAGCACCTCTCAATCAATTTACTTACAGTTGTAGGTGTGTCCACAAGAGAACAAAAAGCAACTTCATCTTCACAAGTCAAAAGTATCTTTCCCGTTCATCCAGGTCGTGATCATGCGGGATTACCACCATGACAATGTGGTTGACATGTACAACAGCTACCTTGTTGGTGATGAGCTCTGGGTGGTCATGGAGTTTCTAGAAGGTGGTGCCTTGACAGACATCGTGACTCACACCAGGTAAGCTTCTTTATTATCCAGATAATTCTTATCATTATTCTCCAGGATTATTCCAGATAATGCTTCTTATTCTTCTCCAGGTTAAAGCTTCAGTGACTATGAACTCTTCATAAATTGTGGGCACTTTGGAGTCAGGGAATATGACTACCCTTTACCCCACATTCCCCAGAAGGCCCATTATGCTATCAGGCATGTATAGTTCATTCATTTGGTTAATGTTCTCCTGTCCTCACAAGGGCATTAATACCCATTGATTTAAAATAAGCAACCTGCTAAGAATGAAGCTTTGGTGGCAAATAATAGATTTTCCCATCACCTACATAGATTTCTAAAGCCTAATTTCATTCTCCCAAGTTACCCTACTGCTGCTGCGTGCTAAGATCACCAAGGATACCGGGCAAAGGAAGGAGCAGGGAGAGTATCAGTCGAAGTTTTGTATTAGAATAATGAATCTACATGACATAGAGAAATTCTTCAAGTCTGTTTTAAAATATTCTTGCAAGTAACAGTGGTTAATTACCAGCCTATTGCTTCTGCTATTTGCCTCCCTGATGTGCCAGGTCCAACCATTTTGTTAAATATTTATTGAGCACCTTTTATGTGCCAGGCTCTTTTGCAAGTGCTGGAGATGCAGAAGATAAAAATGAACATGGCTCAGATACATCCCCTCAGGGACATCGCTAATGAGAAATACATGATAATATCAGTGCAAAATTAGGAAGATATATATGTGCAGCATAGAAGAATATCTTACTGTCTCTATTAGAGTCAAGAAAGATTTCTGTTTAAGATAAGGTGACATCTGAGATGGATTTCAAGAGATGAATAGGAGTTTACTAAGAAGGCAAGTGGGAGGAAAAGGACATTGAAGGCAGAGAAGAGAATATGTGCTAGGACAGTGCCTCTTCAATTCCAGTGTCCACATACATCGTTGTGGATCTTATCAAAATGCATATCCTGACTCACTAGAGAGGGGTTAAGATTCCATTTATAGCAAACTCCCAGGCAATGCCAATGCTGCTGGTTCATGAACCATACTTAGAGAAGCAAGGTTCTGTGGAATAGACATATAAAATAGCATGTTACATTTGGGAAACTTTAACCTTGGTCTTCATCATAAATAAAATGCCAAAAAGTTAAAGTAAGAGTTGTCATGACGAAGGGGTATTGAGTGTTAGCTGGTGTTATTGAAATGGCACCTGAATCAAAAGTGGATCCAGGTATATAGTATGTGGAAAGCAAGGTAACAGGAAAGCACGGGAAAACTCCATGAGGGATAGAACATGCTGCTTTTTCTCCACTAAAATGAGATTTCTTGTGGCTCTACAGTTCTCAGTCTGGAGTAGACCATCTCACAATAAAGGGTCGTGAGTGAAGACACTGAACATTTATCACCAGCAATTCAGCTGGAAAACTCTTGCTGGTGTAGCAATAAGACATGCCCAACAAAAAAAACACATAAGATCATCTTAATTGTTAGAAACAAATATACTGGAAAGATATAAGAATAAGGCAAATGTGATATACAGTTTTTGCTTTTCTCATAAAAAGCAAAAAATAAAAATGTGTTCAGGGGAGAAGCTTTTTTCTTAACCTTCCAGAGCTTCACATAGCTCAGGTCTCCAGCTCTACCTTTGTCAAGATTCCTTTCCATTCTTATTTTGTATCCATGGAAACCACTTAAGAGAGTGTGTCCCTAAAACCCATTGTATTTTCTAATTTTCTCCATCCAGAGTTGTCAACCAATTTCCCTTTTAAAGACCCAGCAACTCCAGAGGCAAAAAGAAATTGTGCGTCAATTTCTGCGTATTTGGTATTGGAAATCTTAAACTTATAGTTCAGACAGTTTTCTGTAGTAGATATTGAGGAACTGCTTTATTGAATGAGATATTGATTCATTGATAACACATCTAACCCCCCTGCTGTCTGAGGACCTGGGAGCTTATTAGAAATGCAGAATCTCAGGTACTATTCCAGACCAACTAAATGAGGATCCATGCTCTAGTCAGATGCCCAGGTGTTTCTTATATATGCTGAAGTGTTAACACTAACCTAACATCTTAAGTCAGATCCTTCTAATTTCCAGGAAGCCGAGGGTTCCAGAAGCGAAAGGAAAGTGCCAAGCACCATCAAGCTCTTTATATATTAATCATGTAACCATCACATATTTCTATGAGGCAGATGCTGATATACCTGTCTGTCAAGGGATGAAGCAACAACTCAAGGAGGAAAAATATTCTTCTCCAGACATGGTGGCTCATGGCTTTAATCCCAAAAAACTTTGGGGGACCAAGGCAGGAGGATCATTTGAGGGCAGGCGTTCGAGACCAGCCTGGGCAACTTAGCAAGACCCTGTCTCTACAAAATTTTAAAAAAATTATCTGGGTGTGGTGGCATGTACCTGTAGTCCTCGCTACTCAGGAGGCTAAGATGGGAGTATCACCTGAACCCAAAGGTTTAAGGCTGCAGTGAGCTATGATTGTGCCATTACACTCCTGCTTGGGCAACAGAGCAAGACCCTATTTCAAAATTTAAAAAGGTATCCTTCTCAAGACCACAGGCTTAATAACTGATATAGTCAGGATTTGAATTTGAGGTTGACTCTAGAGCTGAAGCATTTTTATTCCATGCCAAGCTTTTTTTCTTTAGAAAAGAAGTAAAAGTAGACATTCACCAGCCATTCTCCAGTTGGTCATGTTAATTTCAAAGGCATTGGATTAGGAAGTATTTGTCACACATTCCAGTCAAAGGGGATCCTCCAGTTTGTGACTAGGGGTTATATTCAGGTAATTTTTGGTATAGTCAACCTGTAAAGAATCTTTATACCTGTTTCAGCTTACTCAAATTTCACGGAATTCAATAGAAAATAATTTTATTAAATATGGTGGTTCTTGGTTGTGAATTAACTTGAAGGTATATGTGAGCTTGTCCCTGCTGCAAACACTCTAAACCTCTGAGGGATGTGTTTTTGGCACATGTGAAAATGGTCCTGTGAAAATCATTCAGCATAATGACCAACACACCACAAAACCCAGAACACAGAAGTTGTCGGTTTCCTCTGTTTAAGGCAAGAACATTTCTTCTCACATGCCTTTGTATGAGACTGATGCCTCCTTTTTTTTTTTGAAACAGAGTATCACTCTGTGGCCCAGGCTGAAATGCAGTGGTGCAATCTCAGCTCACTGCAACCTCCACCGCCTGGGTTCAAACAATTCTCATGCTTCAGCCTCCTCAGTAGCTGGGATTACGGGCATGGGCCACCACACCCAGCTAATTTTTTGTATTTTTGGTAAAGACAGGGTTTTGCCACATTGACCAGGCTGGTCTTGAACTCCTGAGCTCAGGCAATCCGCCCGCCTCGGCCTCCAAAATTGCTAAGATTACAGGCATGAGCCACTGCACCCAGCCAAATCCTCCTTAAGGGGAAGGGTAGTTTCTTCATACTCATCAACTTTATATCTTTAATAGTCTCCTAATTGGCTCTCTCCTTATACTTTACTTTTAAATCCCATCAGGAACTTTTGGCATCAACTAGACTGAAATGCAGATTCCAAGCCTTTCATTTCCTTGTTCTGCTGACCTTAGATTTACCTGGGGTTACAGGAGGTTCACAAGGTGGTCCTTAAATTTGGGCTCTGGTCATTTACACCCTCTGTTTCTCCTGGCAGTCTCCTCTGTTTGCATGATAGTTTGCTTTAAAACCTCTTTTAAATTTATTATTTAATATGAGATAGGGAAGAATTTCTGCACATAGATGAGTTAAGCATTAACTCATTAGCTGCCTAAATGAGTCATTTTGAGGGCGACTGAACAAGCTGTGCCATCCAAAAAATTCTCACCTAGATTCCTCAGTGGCTGAACTATTTCACTCATTAGAAAAATCCATTCTTCTGAGTGGTGAGGGCAGTATGGGATAATGGGAATGTGGGAAAGATGAGTTCTGAACTCAAAAAGAGGTGGGGTTTGAATCATGACCTGTTGATTTCTTAGCTGTGCAATCTTGGGCAGGTACTGACCTCTACCTCCTCCTCTAAAACCGTGGAGAAGGAAAAACTTTCTCCACAGGGGTGCAGTCATGAGATATGGGAGCCTATAACCAATGCTTTGCTTTCTTTCTCATTCCCATGGTCCGTTTATTTAAATACTATCCATTCACACTTAGTTATTAGTAACTTCCTAGGTCCAATTTCCTTTTAAGAGAAGGGGCCTGAAGTGACGAAAACCTCTAGCTCCTTGGAGGAAGAAGAGACAGGGTGAATGAGAAGTCCAGTAGGTCCCTCTCCAGAGGGGGAATTAGAGATGCAAAGATCACTTTATCTGAGTTAGACCTTGAAGAGAATCAAGGCTGTCCCCATTTCTCAGATGAAGAAAATGAGACCCAAGGGAGTTAAAGGATTTTCTTATGATTAGTTAACAGCCACACCTGAAACTTTTGTCCACCTATTCAGTGTGCTGTCCCTGTATGACCCTGGAGGCTTATCCCTGCCTTTGGAATTACCCTCTAAGAGTTCATGGAGCCAGGTACAGTGGCTCATACCTATCATCCCAGCACTATGGGAGGCTGAGGCAGGTGGATCACCTAAGGTCAGGAGTGCTTCAATTCCAGCCTGGCCAACATGGAGAAACCCCAATTTCTACTAAAAATATAAAAATTAGCCGAGTGTAGTGGTGGATGCCTACAATCCCAGCTGCTTGGGAGGCTGAGGCAGGAGAATCGCTTGAATCCAAGACGCAGAAGTTTCAGTGAGCTGACATCATGCTGCTGCACTCCAGCCTAGGCAACAGTGAGATTCCTCCCCGCAAAAATAAATAAATAAAAATTAAAAGAGTTCCTTGAAGTGCATTTGCATGAATGACCAAAAAGCTGACAAATAGTGATCTCTTCCATTTGACTTATATCTGGTTCCTGCCATTCTCAGTGCCAAACCTTTGTTCTGGGAATCAGATCCCAAAGACTTCCTTCCCTTGACTGTAGATTTTTCAGGTATGTGCTGGAGCACGTGCACTGGTTCAGTAAAGCACAAAGGAGCTGCCTCTCTTGAGCATTTCAAAGATGTTCTTAAACCTGTCTTGTTCCTTAAATGGTATTTCCTTTCCAGAATGAATGAAGAACAGATAGCTACTGTCTGCCTGTCAGTTCTGAGAGCTCTCTCCTACCTTCATAACCAAGGAGTGATTCACAGGGACATAAAAAGTGACTCCATCCTCCTGACAAGTGATGGCCGGGTAAGATGTTTGGCCCCTTCATAGTTTTCCTTGTCACTCTATCTGTCATGGGCATAATTCTCTTAGAAACACTTTTTCATAACTCTAATTTTTCTTAGTCACAAGTCACCTACTTCTTGTCCCAGAAAGCTTAAAAAAAAAGAAATTACCATCCCTTCCTCTGTGTCATCTTGTTAGTCAGAATTGCCTGACTTTGATGGACAATTTCCCTCTTTAACAATGAGTATAAGAGGTAATGGAAGCTATGACATTTCTTTTCCTTTTCTGCCTCATCCCTGTTTTAGTTGGAGAAGAGCTGACTCTTCTAGGGGTGCATCCAACCTATTCATATGAATATGTGTGTTTATAGTGCCTTTCACAGCCCCTGCAGGTAACAGATGATCAAATCCACTTGGGTAATTTGAGGATGGTGTAATAAACGGACAGTTTATTAGAGTGTAGGCAGATGTAGAAAAATCATAAGAAATAGTGTATGAGGATTAGTGCCATACTTTAGAATGGAACACCACTCCTACTACCCTGTGCCTGAAGTGGTGAAGCAAGGTCCTGGCTACTAGAATCTGGAAATGGAGATTGCTGTAGATTTCAGGGCTGCGTGGCAGGAGCTCTGATCTTTGGTAGAAGCCAAACCAAGATGAACCTGCAGGATGATGGCTGAGAGAATAAATCCTCCAACCTCATTCTTCTCCTTCCTTCTAGTTTGCTCCCCATTGGCTGAAACCAGCTAGGAGCTAAAATGCAGTCAATATAGGTTTTTTCCTAAGGCCTGGAGGAGGGAGGAAATGGATCCAGAAGAACAAACAGAAGATATGTATGCCACTGGCATACTCCAGGCCCAGATTTTGGCATTTCACATCACTACAACCTGCTCAAGGGATTCTGCTGAAACTCATCAGCCACATCAGGGCACAGGGCATGGAATATAACAGCCAAGGAAATAATCAGTTGACATTCCAAGGAAGCCTTAGTTAAATGGAAGAGTTTCAGAGCATAGGTCTTCACTATTAGGGCCTCTTGAGCCTCCTGAAACTCCCACCAGAGGCAATGGCCCTGGCGTGAATGGAGCCAACCTTTTCTTTGATACTCCTGTCTTTTACACCCAGCAACCCCTGCCGTGTGGAAGATGTTCATGTCATATCAGAAGTTGCCCAGGAATGATCAGAGGGCAGCCAGAAGAAACTGTCCAAGCACTTTGGCTTTTTTTCCCTTGTTGTTTTAAAAAGATTGTAAATCTTATTGTAGAAAATTTAGTAAACTCAGAAAAGTATAGAGGATAAAACAAAGATCACCCCGAATTTGATTGCTTATTTATTCCATATTTCCGTGTATATGCATACACAATCTGCAAACTTGGGATTGTGTTTAATGGGGAGTTTTAAGTCTTTTTTGCATTGCTTTAACCATTCTGTGGCTTCTCTTAAGTACAGTAGGGTACAGTAGCATGTATCAGTCAGGTTTTGCTACAACCGCTTAACAGTTAGTGGCTTAAAACAACCACCATTTATTTTCTAACAAATCTGTGAGCCAGCGTTTGGTCTGACTCCACTTGGATAACTCGTCTCTCTGCACCAACTCATCTTTGCATCATGTGGTATCAGCTGAGCTCTCTCTTCCAGTTGCGATCAGTCTATGGTTATGGCCTTACTCATTTGCTAGGCAGTCAGCTGGCTCTCAGCAGGGACAGTGCAGGTAACAGGGCCAAATATTACTCATATCCCAGAGTAGCTCAGACTTATTCACATAGTACCTGCGGCAAAGTTCTCAAGAGCAAAAAAGGCAAGCGCTGATGTGTAGGCACTTTCAAATCTTCTGCTTATATTATATTTGCTAAATATCCAAGCCCAGACTCAAGGGGTGGGGAAATGGACTCTACCTCTTGATAGGAGAAGATGCAAAGTCACATTGCAAAGGGATGTAGATACAGGGAGAAGAAGACTGTGTATGCATTTTTGCTCAATCTCCCATACTGAGTGGGGCAGCTGTGAGAAAAGGTCAAGAATCCTCCCTGGCCTGACTCAGGAAAGCACCTGCATAAGGCTCCGTGGTCTCAGAATGTAATTTCCCAAGCATTAAACTGATCTCCAAGAGCAATTTCAAGCCACACTTTCTCTGTTTCTAGAAATTTAGGGTACAGGCTTCCTTACTGTAGGAACATATCCAGTATCAAAATCCGAAATGAGACTAAGATAAGAAGTCATTGTTTAATCAGCTTACTTAAAGATCTCCCCTCCCCTCAATGTGCAAGATTCTTAAATCATTCAATTGTCATTCTCAAGAGCAGAACCTTTCTCTTTAACACCTCCTGCACCCCTGTGCACCCAGCAAAGAGCACACGGAAATAGACATATTGTAGATGCTTTAGTCCTTATTGATTTGTTCCCTCATTTATTCACTGAATATTTACTGAACATCTACCATGTGTCACAGACAGTTCTAAATCCAAGGGATGAACAAAGCAAAATCACTTCCTCTAGTGAGCTTATTTGGGGGCTGGAAATGTGATGATAAACAAATAGATAAATAAACAAAATCCCCACCAAAAAGGGGGTGATAAGTACTAAGTTTCCTAGGATTAATTTAGATACAGTAAGGAGAATGGGGAGTGATGGAAGAGGTAGGGCTCTGATACGGAGGCTGGTCAAAAGACCCCTCTCATGGGGTGGCATTACAACAGAAACATGGGCGACTGGACCCTGTGGCTGCCAGAGACAGGAGTGTTCCGGGCAGAGGAAGCAACAGCATGTTGAGTGGATCTTGTGCCTCTTGGCCATGTTGTCCAGAGTTTACTCATTCATGTTAAGAACTGTGTAACTCCAGTGGCTTCTTCAGTGTCTATAGGGAAAGGAAACTTTTAACAGAGAATAGAAATGGAGTGTGGCTACTCCAAGAAAAGGCTAAGAGTACATTTTTATGCTAGTCTATTAGTGTACAACATTATATAGTGGAGAAGACATTTTCAATTATCTGTTGCTGTTATTTATGGTGAAACATCTAAACATTTGTCAACAGTCCTTACAGCATTGTCTCTCATGGATCCAAGGGTTGACTAAGCTCAACAAAGCAGCGCTGCTTTGACTTGTGGTTAGATAATGCCTGGAGCCAGTCATCTGTAAGTCATCCTCACTCACATGTCAGGTAGTTAATCTGGGCAGGTTGGCTGGAGCTGTCACCAGAACACCTACAACATGGCCTCCTCACGTGGCTTGAGTTTCCTCATGGCATGGCAGCTGGTTCCCAAGAGTGTTTCCCAAGAAAACGAGGTGGAAATGCACAGCATTTTTATTGCCTAGCCTCAGAATCACATAGCATTGCTTTCACTGTGGTCGCAAGCCCTTACAGATTCAGGGAGCAGGTGTAGAGTCCTCCTCCATGTGAGAAAAATTAAGCCATATTGTAGGAAAAGCTCATGAGATGGGCAAAATTATTGTTGGCATTTTTGGAGAATACTGTCTGCCACACAAGACATGTTGGGTTCCCTTACTGTTTGGAGATGTTCAACATCATTAGCCTTTGAGAAATGCACGTTAAAACTACAACGAGCTATTCACTGCACACCTAGAGGAATGGCTAAAATGAAAAATAATAACAACACTCCTTCATGCACTTCATAGGAATTAAAGGGTGTGACACTCAGGAAAATACTTTGGCAGTAATTTTTGAAAACTAAAAATGGACTTACCATACAACCAGCACTTGTACTCTGAGGCATTTATCCAGAGAAATGGAAATTTATTTTCCCACAGAAACTTGTATACAGATGTTTATAGCAGTTTTCTTAATAATAGCTCCAATGTGGAAACTACCTACATGTCCTTCAAAGGGTGAATGGTTAAACAAATAGTATTAATATATCCATATCATGGAATATCATTCAACAATAAAAACCAACAAGTGATACACACAAGAACTTGGGTAAACCTCAGGGAAATTATACTGAGTGAGAAAACACCAATCTCAAAAGGATGCATACTATAAGATTCCATATATATATACCCCCCCACACATACACATTTATGAAACATCATAATTATAGAAATGCACAGCAGATGAGTGATTGGCAGGCGTTGGGGGTTGTGGGAATGTATCTGTAAAGAATAGCACGAGGGAGTCCTGTGGTGATGTTGCAGTTGGGTATCTTTATTTTGGTGGTGGTTATAGTAAGTTGGTGCAAAAGTAACTGCCATCACTTTTAATGGCAAAACTGCAATGACTTTTGCACTGTTTAGCATAGTCTTCCAGGCTTCCTCAGCAAGATCAAGCTCTAGTCGCCCACCATAGTAACTTGTATAAAACCCTCAGAAGTACACCAGCTACAAGGTAGATGCTAAGTCAGAAGGCATTTCCTCTGCCCTTGTAATTAAGTGTTGTATAGAATCATTATGACCTTTCCTTGGCCTAAGGTCAGCATTTGAGGAATGAATTACTTAGGGGCCAGTAAGCAGTGAGTGACTTTTGACAAATTCATTGGCCGGAATTCAAACCCATGACCTACGAAATCCACTAACTTTTGGAAAAGAGACACACACAAGTGGTCTTTATGATCTCTTTTTCTTTTTACTATAAATTGATTGCCACAAATCAAAACTTGGAAGATGTCATATAAAATTCCAGGTTCTTCCTTCCTTGAAAAAGCAAAGGATCTGGCAACACTATACCTAAATTCACACATGGCGGTAGGGGAAGTGGTATAAGGAGGGTGAGTTGTACCATAGCACATGCTGTTGGTGCCCTGCCTGGACCTTTCCAGAACTTCCTGTTTCAGTGATCACTAGCTTCACCTTCAAATGCCACCATCTGCATCTTTATGCCTGAGGACTTTTTCTGGCCACTGTTACTGCTTTTTCCATACAAGCCTGGTTAGAAATTCCAGGGAATTAATGTTCAACCTCCCCAGGAGCAGCCTTGAAGCCAGTGCTGGGAGTTGGTGGATTAATACGCAGCTCTCTTATTCTCAGATGGAATAACGGTGAGATTTTTGTTCTACGCAGCCTCCCAGACTT